TCTTTGACTGCGCAAACGTATATTTTTAGTAAGCTTTTGTTATACTTCACTTGATTTCATTCTGTCGTTCTTTTTACTTCACTTACCATCAATCAAAACAAACTTTCGAGCGAGTTTTCGACCACTTCTGCGTGACCAATTTATTTCAAACTTTACATGTAGGCCAAGACCCGATGAGAATGAAATGTGACCTAAAATTTCAATTAATTAGATGTTTAATTACATTTATAAATGTGTCCTATCTAAAGTTTCGCGAGTATGTGCACATTGTTTGAGCTCATTTTGTGCTAATTGGTTCTATTCTGTTAATATTTAAAAGTATAAGAAAAGTGAATAAGAAAACATTATGTAAAAAATCCGTGTTTGAAGAAAATCTTTTCTTTTTTTAGTGATTATATGAAGTTTGTTATTTAAAAGTCATTTCTTTTTTTTTCTTTTGCTAGCCTGCCTCAAAAATTGTTCAGCTTCATATTATTGTTTTGTTTTTCTTAGTAAAACACGGTTTATCATAGGCTTACACTTTTTATTGTTGGATTATTTGGTTCGTGTTGTTCTTGGACATAATAAAAATGTATCAATATTTCAAAAAAGAGAATTTGTTTTTGGCCAATTTCCAACATAATTATGCAGCACTCTAATTGTATTACATATTACTTGTAACATATACGATTCTCTTAATAAAACGTTCATTTTAAAAATGTCTTTGTCGTAAGTTCGAACCCAGACTAGTACTAGGTAACACTGTGTACTTGTTGTTAGGTAGCGGGTTGGAAATATTACAAATTAAAGAGAAACCAGCGACCTGTGAAGTTCGATCTTTCGCACGACCAAACGATTAACCTGATTAACATATATCCCGCATACTGGCTTCTAAAATAAAACTAATACCGCCATTTTTTTTTTCAAAATTCATTTTTTTTACTTGCAAGTATCGCGAAAGGCATCTAACAGCTGAGGGGGGGGGGCTTATCTCTCTGTTTAATGTTTCAAATTTTTTAAGTCGTCTGCGGGTGCCCTAACCAACAGTTTGTAATAATTTGATACATCACTAATCACAAGTAGTTAATGTAGATAGAGCTGCGACCCGCGTAAATAAAATTACATATGCGCACCACTACAATGAAGAGAACAGCGTTCAAATATTATTACAAAGGGAGGCTAGGCTTAACAACTAGGGGAGATAAGTTGAAATTTTAACATAAGTTTTTAATTACGAGTTTCGAGAGCGAGTTGTATGCATGAGGTATAGGCGTATGAAAAGTCAAGTCGAATTAATTAAAGTTGTTGTATTTGCAATGACGTCGAATATGAATCTAATTAGATGAGTTGATTAGAGCGGAGTGGGGTATAATGTTTTATCTTCTTTGTTGTGGGATGGTGTGTTGGGGTGTCTCGGGTTGTCAAAGGTGGCACAGGATCACCTGACAACCAGATGTTGACGTATGGTGTATTATATTAACTGATGACATATGTTGTTTTACGTCCATTGTTGATAGAGTGTGTTCTGTATCAACTGGTGACGTATGTTCTACATCAATTGTTGACGTATGTTGTATTATATCAACTGATGACATATGTTGTTCTACGTCCATTGTTGATAGAGTGTGTTCTGTATCAACTGGTGACGTATGTTGTTCTACATCAATTGTTGACGTATGTTGTATTATATCAACTGATGACATATGTTGTAATATATCAACTGATGACATAGGTTGTAATATATCAACTGATGACATATGTTGTTATATATCAACTGATGACATATGTTGTATCATATCAACTGATGACATATGTTGTATTATATCAACTGATGACATATGTTTTATTATATCAACTGATGACATATGTTGTATTATATGAACTGATGACATATGTTGTAATATATCAACTGATGACATATGTTGTATTATATCAACTGATGACATAAGTTGTTCTACGTCCTTTGTTGACATATGGTGTTCAACATCAATTGCTGACTTATTTTGTTCTACATCAATTGTTGACATATGTTGTTCTACTTCAATAGTTGACATATGTTGTTCTAAATCAATTGTTGACATAAGGTTTACTATATCAACTGATGAAGTGTGTTGTTCTTCATCAGTTGTTAATTATATAGGCAAAAACTTAAGTTGATGTTGTTGTTTTGGAAATGTGTTCCATAAGATTTTAATGTTGTGACGTAAACCGCAGAGGTTGTGACGTCAGATTTTAATGTTGTGATGTAAGCCACTATCTCTGTGAACACGTGTGAAACTTAGATAAATTATAAATTATTTAATCATTAAAATGACTCTCCTATCAGCGGGTTCAGCATGGCAGTTTTAAACCTATGCAGCTCCAATAAAAAAAAAAAACAACTCATTGTGTACTCTCTCTGCCAGACATGTTTTTAGATCGTATGGGTTCAATTTATTTTCTGTGTGAGTCGCGAATAGTTCACACGATTTTAACCAACTCCATACGTGAGTACAGTGAATTTAAAAAAAAAAATTAAATAAATTGGTACAAATATTTTAGATAATTTTAATGAAAGTGTAGCCGTGATTTGCTTAAAGGTATCGGGGTGTAAAGATAAAATTAAAACTGTAGTTAAAAATGTGGTTCAGGCTTAAAGATACAATTCAATTAAAAACTGCAGTTAAATATACGGATCAAAATTTGAAGATAACCTTATACCTAGATAAAAATTCAAACAGAACAAAACATTGAATACTACACGCTACATCCCATCCCTAACTCCCCCTCCCCCTCCCATTGTCTTTACAATCCTTTAACTTCTATTTAAAACACCATACACTCACTCAGCCGTAATTAATACCCAGCAATTTGTTACAGCCAACAAGTAGGTATGGCACCCTGTATATCCCTTGCTGTGAGATCATGTTTAAACAACAGTCAAAGCTGTTGCCAAACTACCAATGATAAGACGCAATCAACCAAGGGGTCTTCACATGTGGTTGCATGTTCCGATTGTGAACCACTCTTTAAAAATTCTGCATTTTGATCAATGATGTAGTCGGCTGTATATAAACGAGTTTTCTTCATGAATAATCTCGTATTAAAAGGCTGGATTTGTAGGAGGTAATGAACCGATGGTGTTGCTAACAATGCTCGTATCTTGACAGAGTGGAGGTATGTCACGAAGACATGGTGCTTTAATTAAAGTAAAAATATCAATACATGAAACATATGAATACAAAAAGTTCTCGGACCCATAAACTTTTTAAAAACATATTTTAAGCCGGTCTGTGTATTGGGTAGGCAAGACTAGTATTTTGTATTAGGTTAAAATGTACAATTTTGGTTCCGTTTTGCTCCACATATTTTTATGTGTGAACATCTTCATCAAGAGATGTCATCGAATCTCTCCATTACATATTTGGACTGTTATTCGGAACTGTACAACGAGCGATATATATATATATATATATATATATATATATATATTTATATATATATATATATATATATATATATATATATATATATATATATATATATATATATATATATATCACTGACTTGTCAACACACATCCAGTGGTTAGTGCCTGAAGATCGATATCCTCTCCCCTCATGTCCTCATAACCCCCCCCCTCTCTTGTCCCCTCTCTCGCACGGGTTGAAAACGTAAACGCTATCATTGAAAATCCCGCTCCATGTAAATCCCCGCTATGTCGTCGCGGTGATTTGCCGCCCCCCACATAGTGTGGGTGATTTGCCGTCCTCCCCCCCCCCCCCACTTTGTGTGGGTGATGAGCCGATCAATTCTTCACTGACCACCAACGTAGTAATGTTGTACATCACGCCAGCTAACTCCACCTCACCCCTCCCCTACTACCAGTACACAGTTTAACAAAATCGCCCGAGATTATAGAATGAAAAAAAAAAAACTCCACACGCGAGCGCGATTTGTTCATTTAGATTTTATTTTATTAAAAAATTCAAAGATATCACCTAACCAGCATTATCATGTTTGTTTGTATTCAGTTACAAGTTTATTTCAATTGTTTGTTCTTTCAATTGTTTTTTGTTCTTGAAATTTCTTTTGAAATTAAAAAAATAATAATTTTAAAACATATTTTAAATATTTTCAAACTGATTTGAGATTTACGTTTACCTGATACAAGAACAACTGTAACATTTTTATCACCTATTTATTTTTTACCCTCCTTGACCACAAGTGTCATTGTAAACTCAGTCTACTGCTATAGCATGGCCAACTGTCTAGTTAAACGAATTCGTTAAATGTTGTAACTGCTACATTTTATTTACGTGATACTTTACCACAAGACACTATGACTCTAACATTTTTAAACAAGTTCTTCACTGCGATAATTTTTCTTAAATTTTTGTCGTCTTTCAAAACATTTCCATGTATAGGCTATCTGACACTTCTCTTCTGATAGTTACAAGGTATTTGAGATTTTCTTTCCAAATTTCAAAACATGTCAACATTTTTATTTAAAAATACATCAAAAAACGTAATTAGTTTTAAATAGGTTATAAATATTATCATTCATAGTAACACCATCTTTATGTTATAAACATTTTTAAAACCGGTTCATACCTTCATAAGTCACAAATAACATCAACATAAGTTTTTTATCTAAACTAAGCATTTTTATATATTATAAATATTGTAAAACCTGTTAATTTCTTTAAACATCGTAAATATAATTTTAAAAAATACAACGTTTAAAAAAACTTAATAAATATATTTCATAAATATTAACAAAGCCGTTAACAAGATTATTTCATGAATATTATAAAACCTGTTATCTCATTAAGAAACAACGTCTGTTGCAATCAAAACACTTATTTTTTAAAGATTCGCTTTTAATTTTTTTCAGATGTTACAATCATAGTTCATACAGACTCAAATCCTGACCACATAAACTAAAATTCTGTCTTAAATTTTTCAGATGTTGCAATCATAGTTCATACAGACTCAAATCCTGACCCCATAAACTAAAATTCTGTCTTAAATTTTTTCAGATGTTGCAGACAAACTTGGGTGCCAAGCTGAGACTTCACGTGTCTCCACAACCACTGAGGCAAATGGAACGACAGGAGAATAAGGACTAGCATCAAGGCTAAAAACCCTTTCACAGACCAAGCTAAATTACATACTTTTACATTGTCGGCGGTCGGGCTCCTTGTACGTCAGCATTTGAGTCTCGCTCATGGGAGCCGCGGGACCTAAAATGTGATGAGCCAACAAGAGTTGGAGTCCACTGCGGTGGATTCAAGTGTGGTGGATTGATTGTAGACGAATCCACCAAACTGGTGTACAAAGCGCTGACCCCCTAGTAAACTGTGAACCCTGACATCATTAACTTTACTCGATACCCCACAAACTCAATGGTAGAAACATTTACCATTAACGATACCATCAGCGATACCATCAGCGATACCACCAGCGATTACCAGCAACTAACTCTACCACTAACCACTACAACTTAAACACTCAGGACAGCCGGCAAAGACCGGCACAGGTGACTTCCGCTACATTAAGGCCGGCAACCGGCTAAAATGGAGAAGACTTTGTCGTAGAGTAAAACCCAAGCTACGCTAAATTGAAAACTTTAAACTATTAAAAATGTGTGAACACTCTATACATAGCCCACACTTTAACTAGCCTGCAGTATTTCAGTTTAATTTTGTTTTTAAAAGGTAGTATAGATTAACTCATGCACCAGCGGAAGTGCCCGAAGCTAGTTCTCTAATTCACCGCGGTGTTAGCGTATTTGGACATTGGCAAACCAGTCTTTGAGGTGTAATTAATTAATTTGATGGCATCACATTTGTACATCATCTTTTTATTCGTCATCGAACTTTATTAGAAACAGTTTACTAATTCGTGTATCATGCGTGTACATTACTTTAAAATAATCAAAACCAGGTTTTATTTTTTCATGTTTTAAAAACATTAACTTTTAGTCTAATATTTTTACATCTATTTGCTTGATTTAGAAGAAAAACCATTATACTGAAATACTAATGGGTAGTTAAAATCATTTTTAAAAAAATTAAAATTCAAGAATTTTAATTCTTCAAATTTTGACTAAAGTTGTTTAGATTATAAACTTAAACTATTACATGTATGTGGTCAGGCCATACGTCGTTGTGTATAGTTTAATTGAGTCTCATCACATCGTGTAAACACTGTGTTATGGATTTTTAAACATTGACCTATCAGTTAGAGGGCTTGAGGAAAACATCGTTTACTAACAGATAGTTTGTAAACAAACTATTTGTAAACAAAGCCAAAGAACCCAATGTCAAGTTATTCAATTCACTTTGCTCATATCCAAATAAACCCCGAATGAACTAAAGACTTTAAGAAAGGGAGTAAAACTTAGTTTAATTTTTTTTAATTATCAAGAATTTAAATTTGTTTGTTTATGAATATTTGATACAAAGCAATACATATTTTCTATCAATTCTACTCATCAACTGTCAATTCCCAATGTAACAACCACACCAAAAAGACTGTTCATTAAAAAAAATATTTCTGAACTAAACCATAAGTCTCAAACTAATGTCGAGCTGAAAACGTAACCTAATGTACATGCATGTTACCCACCCTCCCCTCCCTATACATATATTTCCCATCTTTCCCCCACGTAATCACCAAGATTGATTGATTGACATCTCAGCGAACCCTTAGCTCGAGCGCCAGAAGAAATCAGATTGTCGGGCTCTCGGCGCCTCGTTTCTCCACTTGACACAAGTCTCGTCCCGAGCATTGATTACCGCCGCCATTTTGACAGTTGCCACAGCTCCGAAATGTACACAAGCCCATTACGTCGAGATTCAAATAATCTCCAACAAAAACGCCTTTTCAATGTATTTTTCCAGTCTATTCACAACCGTCTGTTGTTCATCTTTAGGTAATAATAATAACTTTTAAAATAACTTTTATTCGTTTCAAACAATTTCCGAATTTCAAACCACGTCCATTTAAAAAAAATATTTTACAAAAAATAATTTTCTAACGAATACGCGATTAAGTATAAAAAGATGAAAAAATAATTGGTTGTCTAATCAAGATTTTTTTTCGCCCCTGTTAGCTGTTTTTTTTCTCCTGGTTACGAAAAGCGGCAAGGGACAAAGCTTTAGCATCAGATGAATAAAAAATTTGAGATAAATTAGCCCCTTTTTTGTGTTGAAGACGACAAAAGTGTGCAATTAAATATCATTAAAAAATAGACCGCTGGAATTGAAAGGAGGGGCTGGTGTGTGGGATTATACTTCACCTTTCGGTAATTAGACGATTGTCAGCTTAAACCAGAGGCACCTCTGTTAATACAAACAGGTCAGCCGTCTTTTTTATCGAAGGTAAAAATCGTCGTATTCGTGTCATGCAAGACTCCGGATGGAGGGCTGGGCTGGGATAGGTGGGCGCCTCAGAATGGGGTTTCATCCCTCCCCACCCCACTTATATGCTCCATTGTTCATTTAAACAATCTTTGAGAGCATCTCCAAATTCTCCCTGCATTCCCAGGCTTCCCTTGGACTTTGCCTCCATCATCACCGTTTATATATATATATATATATATATATATATATATATATATATATATATATATATATATATATATATATATATATATATATATATATATATATATATATATATATATATATATCGACCTCACCGTGTAGTAACTATAATCCCTCCCCTCCCACATTCCCACCCTCAGTCTGCCATTACTATCTGATCGGATGTGTAAAACGAACACAACATGCATCTCCGTACCTTAACATAGATGGTATTTTCAGTGTTTATACACCGTGTTTGAAACAAAACGGTGTTTAAAATAAGACTTCCGCTAAAAAATATTCAAAATCAACGAATTTAATAAAGATGACTGTAAAAATGACATGCATTCTACTATATTACTGGTCTCATCAAATCGTTCACAACTCTTTATAATGAATTGTGTTAAAGTTATTTTTACAGATGTTTGAGAAAGCTAGGTTAATGTATGTTGCCTATGTGTGTGTGTGTATGTGCTGTTGAGTGTTTGATAAGTTTAAACTGTGTTTATTAAATTGATCTTAAATAATTGCGAAAAGAATGTTTTGAATGTTTTTAACGTTGTATTTTGTGAGGAATCTTTTCGCGTTAGTTTGATATAGTTTCAAATGAAAGTTTAAAGAAGATATTAAAAGATTTATGCTATACATACTAACATACATAATTTGTACTAGTCGTTTGCCCGTAAAAAAAAGGGCACATTGAAAAGTGTAGTTTTTTTTGTACTAATAATTTTATCAATAATAATTTTAATTAATTAATAATTATTATTAAATTAGCTATTATATATATCATGCCTGTACATTGTTGTATATAATGGTATTAATTGTGTGTTCATTTGAATTTATTTTAGAACTAATTCTTATTTGAAGATAATTGCTATAAATATTAACTCTAACCATATTTTTTTTTGTAAAAGCATTTTTAATAGTTGCAATATTTGAGATCTATGTATAAATACTCAAATGTGTTTTCTATGTATAGTGTATAATGTTTTTATGTAAGAGGTATCTAGATATTAATAGATGCTGGTATGAGAATTGAAAAAAACAACTCTTTCGTTAAAGATTGCCTTGCAGACTAGTCTAGACACCTAACCTTAATCTTAACAATAATAATCGTTTTATATAATTAACTTGTGATTATTTGTGTCTGTCAATGACCGTTTGGAATGATACAACAGATTATCTTTAGATTCTACCAGCTACAACTGTTGTATCGATACCGTTGTTGTATCAATACCGTTGCTTTATCGATGCCCCTGTGGTATCGATATCGCTGGTGTTTCGATACGGTTTATGTATATTTATCATTGGTGTTTCGATGCCGTTTGTGTATCGATACCATCGGTGTATCTTCTGAAACTTCGGTTACAATTTTTCCCCAGGAGTTTTAGAAAAAATGTATGCAGTTATTTTTTAAAATGTTGGTTGAAGTTTGACATGTTTTTGAAAGACAAAAAGAGAACTTGGCTGTGCTATGTGTACATTGATTTAATGGAGTAACTATGACGTCAATACAAGCAAAAATACACCTGTTGGAATATACTGTTTCTATTTATAGCTATGAGTAAATAAAACGGATCGGGTTTTGTTTTTGAAACAAATAATTTTCAGATGGAGTCATGTGTCTTGTGTGTGTAAGTTGTTTAAAAATCAATAAAAAATATACAGGACACAGACTAAAGACTTGGTTTTTTCACGTTTGTGTACAGTGTTATTTTTAGACATTTTTCTCCCGGGGTGGGAGTGGGGGGCGCCTCAAACTTTCAGGGGGATGGGGTTGGACACTGTTCAGATGGAGGGATAGGGGGTGGACGTGCTTTATGGGGGGGGGGGGGGGGAGTAAAAGTATATATTTTCTATGTAAACTATATATTTTTCATTATTTTCGTGGGGGAGGGAGGCGGTGGACTTTATCGGGAAAGGGGTACTAACTCCCCAATTCTAATTTAAGGTAAAACACCGCAGTTAGTTTAATGAGCGCAACAACCCATCCAGCATTAATTGACATAAGTTAAATTTAATAATTAATGCAAAATATAATTTTTATATTTTTAATACCCCATCCCTCCAGAAAAAAATAATCCTATATTATAATATTAATATAAAATTATTATGTGTCATCTTTTCGATGATTAATTTTGAACACAACAATATTTAAACGATGCATTAATTAAAGGAGTATCTGAGATCTGATTTCTCCGTGTGGGTGGAGAACGAAGGAAAGCAGCCAAACCTTTCGTTTTTATATCAACCCCTGGAGATGGGCCAGCTAAATCAAGGCTCGCCCCCTCCCCCCCTTAACCAATTCTACACTCCCCCGCGCGGTGTAACAAAAATGTTGAACCCCACGCCCAAAACAGGGAATTCTACTCTGCTATCATTTAGCCTGGCTATTCTATAGGGGGTTCGCATTTCAATGTTTGAATCCGTTACACTCATATTCAAAGCACCCACTGTGGGAATCTTTATTTTAAATAAATATTTAACGGTCATTTGTTATTGTTTAAAAACTCAAATTATTTAAATGAAGTTTT